CAACATCTGGATCCTTACCTTCACACTTCCATTTTTGGGAGGTTCCATGTTGCACTTGGTGTAATGTCCATTCATATCACAGATTCTCTTGCTGTAGTGTAACTTGCAATTGTAGATTACAGGATTGCAGTTATCTTCACCAGTTGGCTTATGAGTGGTGTTATGCGGTGGGTTTTTAATTTTTCAAGTAGGGCATATTTTGTCAGCGAGTGTTACATTTCTCCTAGGCATTTCTATAAGAATCTAAAATTTTAAATGAAAAAAATCATTGCACATACCACAATAGACTCTCAGATGTAGTCACTGCAAGACAGAGCAACTGTAGGTGGGTGTTCATCAATACTGAGTGAGTCATTGGCACATTGCTGATGTAGCAATCACAAGTACTCCATGTGACAGCTACTGGGCACTTAAATGGTATGGTGATCCAATAAATGAAGTAAATTGTGTTTATATTCACAGTTTTGTTTTTGTTGTCCAGGATTTTCCCCAAATAAATAGCTGCCCCAATTAACTTGTGACCCTATTAACCAGAATCCACTGTATATTGAATACAAATTTGCAGATAATGTGCTTGGTTCGCTATTAAAGAGGAAAAATATATTACTGTGAACTAAGAAGTTGTTATTGAAACATATTGTTGATGTTTCTATAACTTCTATAAGAAAATTAGGTATTTGGGGTTACTTTATGAGTGTAGGGGATGCCACAAATTGATACCTAGTGTAGAGTTACATGACAGAGAAAGCCTGGTCTAAATTGATTTGTCCTCTGCCTTGAAGCATATGAAGCAGTTCTAAGATTTGCCACATTAACCAGTTGGATTTGAAGAAACTAGAATAAGATTTCTTTCAGGCTTCATGGAGTCTGGAAGCACAGACATATTTGTTGGCAGCCTAGAGAATCTTGTTGGGGCATCATGATGTCTCGATTCGCCTTGTTTTTTGTGTGTGTGCTTCCATTTCCCAGTTCGCTGTTCGCTGAGCGAATGAATGAACGTTGAGGTTGGAACAACTGTCTCCCTGCGGTCGGTTCATCCTACCAGGGGCTTCCAGACAGTCGCAAGAGCACTCTAAGGTCCCCACCAAGCGCTGATGAGCACAGTAAAAATATATGAAAATTCTATTAAAAAGACAAGTGGAGTATCATATTTCATTCTGATATTGATGGGATATATTCAGGGACACTCAGTAGTTACCACTTCATTATCAAATTTTAGATATCTTAAGATAAATGACATGATTGTGATGACTGAGCAAGTAGTTTTTACCTCTGAGTATGTCCCTGAGTGTTTGTAGAAAATGTTTTGACCTAATAATAAGTCAGAAAAATAATTTTCCTATTGAATCAAAGTGCCTTAAAGAATTTGATGAGTGTCATTACAGCTTAATTAAAGAAATAAACCATTTTAATTTGTGGAATAGTAACTTCACACTTAAGTTATCAGTTTTAGTTATTGAATTTCATAGAATTATATGTTGAAATCGTCTAATGTAAAAAAAAAACACACAATCTCTCTCTCTCTCTCTGTTAGCATCATAAGAAGATGAAAGGCAGTACATTCCTACATTATATTCACTATGAAGAATGTTCCACAATTATGTTTTGCTTGCATAAATTTGTCAGTATTCTCTTATCAGTGTTTTAAGCGAGGCTAATGAATAAAACTTCGTTAAGTTTCCCATTTAGTTTTGTAACTTTAAAAAAAAGTGCTAGTTGTTCTTTGGATAGAATACTTCTTTTAGATAGGCTATAATGAAAAGTTGTCTGTATAGTTCAGTGTGTAAGAAAATAACCAATTGTGAAAAACTGAAAATATATAAGCATTGAATTGTGAATTGTTTCTGAAAATTCTTTCAGACAGTAAAGTACCTCTACATGACCATAAGTACATTCCATTACAAGAGTGTGAGTGGTTGGTTTCAGAATATTGAACAGCATAAAAGTTACGGCTAAATTTTTATTTTGGTTTCTGTTGTTGCCTGTGTGAGTCATGGAGAGAGAACTAAAATTTAGATGTTGGTTTCAGTTAGGCTTTCAGTATTAACACACTGCATACTGCAGTCTCTTTTAGCAATCACCTTATGCATATGTATGGCAGTTGTGGAAGAAAATAACAGACTTTGAAAAACTGAAAATGACATAAACATTGAATTGTGAATTGATTATAAAAATTCTTCCAGACAGCGCAGGACCTCTATATGACCATCAGTATGTACCTTTATGAAGATTGTGAATGTCCCTGTTTCTGAACTGAAGAATTTTTTCATAATTTCATAATATTTGAGTGAGAATGGAAATGAGACCAAGAAAATTATCGTGTCGGCTTGTACAAGAGTGTGGCATATCAAAAAGTTCCATTTTAAGAGTTTTCAAAGCTTGTTAAGTTTATCCTTATGAAGTGCCATTGGTCTAGAAGTTGAATGCTGCAGATCCAGTTGTGTGCATAAAGTTTTACTGTTGGGTGTTGCAATCTTTTCATGATGGTATTCATTCAGCTCTTTACATGATTGATGAAACTTGGTCTTGTCTTGATCATTTTGTGAATGCACAGAACAGCTGTCATGGAGACACTGAAAATCTCCACACAATATATGAAGTACCACATCGTGACCATATAGTGGGTGTGTGGTGTGCAGTTAATGGTCAAAGGGTAATTGGGCCTGTCTTTTTTTTTTTTATAACTTGGTGAACTTGGAGTGTTATGTGAACAATATTTTGGAATCATTTCTTCAAATGCTAACTGAAGAAGGGGGACCATATGCATATTTCCAGGAAGATAACACAATAGCCCACACATGACATCATTCTGTGTGGGGGCTTCATGAAATTTTTTGTGAAAGGATTAATTAGTCAGGGACTACGGCCACCTCTTTTGTCAGTTTAGGGCGTGCAATTTTACGTATGGGGAAAGTTGAAGCAAAAAGTGTATTGGAACAATCTGCATGTTCTAGAGACCCTCAAGAATGAAATTAGGAGGGTAAGACATAACATTAAAGAAGACAAGCTGCAGTGAGTGTATGAAGATTTCTTACTTCAGTGCCAGATGTGTTTTGAAGTGGATGGATGCTAATTTCAGTAGTTCCTTTGAAATACAGATGATTAAGACATTAATCATGAAGTGGTTTCCTTCTGTTTGGTCTTCTCTGTACTGCTGTACCTGAATCACCACACTGAGCAAAAACATGCTTACATTTTCCACTTATACATGACAACTTACTTATGTTGCAGCTTATCAGAGAATTGTCTAGTAATATTTCTGTGAGGATATGATTCCTTTTTCAATGCAGCAGAACAATATTGAACACCCCAAACAGAATTATTATCTTAAAAAGCTGACAGTGTCAATTCGTTATCTGAGAAAGCTGATAATATGTTACGTTGACATGAACTCCACAAAGATTTCTTCTTCACATAGCCCTGCACTGGGTGTTTCTTGTGTCACCATGATCATGTACAGTAATGACTGTCACAGGTGTTAGCATTCATTTTGTAGAAGTCAAAGGGAACATAAGTTCTGTTTAGTCACGAAGTCTTTTCACAGAAGATGCATGTTCTAAACACTTGAAAATTTGTCACTTGATCTTCACACGCTGAATTGACACTGACCTTGACTGAGTTTAGGATGGTAAAATTAACATAAAGGACATAAACAGTCAGATGTGCGAAAAGGACATTTTTTACAACCTGTACTCAATACTTGAAATAAGTAATTGCTGCAGTTCCTTGAAAATGAAATTTTAGATGTGTTTTTCAAATATAATAAGAATGAAGGTTACAGTTTCTTCACTTTATTTAACCGTAACTATGTTCAAGAATACATAATCAGTTCTTCTTTTGATTGCATACCATGACTACTGGGTTTACCACATAAACAGATACATCAAAAGCGCATTCATTAAATTATTATTTTGAGGGGTGGGGGGATATTCAAGATATGGTTACAATGCTGCAATGTTAGCATAGTCGATATAGCAACTGGCTATGGGCTGGACAGCTGAGGGGTTGGAGTTCGAGTTCCGCTAGGGTCAAGAATTTTATTTACTCCAAGTTGTCCAGACCGGCTCTGGAGTCCACCCAACCTCCTATTCAGGAGGTACTGGGTCTCTTTCTCTGGTGATAAAGCGGCCACTCACCTCCAGCTAGTGCTGAGGTCAAGAAAATCAAGAAAATATGGATATATACATCCTTTCCCACATAAGCCTTCATGGTGTAGTGCTTTACCTTTTACTGCAGTAAATCCATGTGACCGATGCATGCAGTGGTTGCATTTTTGGGTGAATAGGTCAGGGTGTTTCTGCTACTTCGGCTGAATGTAGCTGTTCACCTTGTATCACAGTATGACCCACAGGTATACATGATCTCCACTTACATGTTTTGTTAGAAATATGCAAAGACTGTGGTCATTAAGAGGAGTTTTACTGTCTCTTGCTTTAAGCAAGTTATAACTAAGTATGTAATATTGCATTGCTATTGTATAATCATTCAGACTGCTTTTATAACTCATCTCTCATGTTCTAGCACATTTGCATGTTGACTGATTTTGAATCCTCTATTTTAAAAGTTCTGCTTACTGCTGCAATTCGGTGCTTTCCTTTTCTTTCTCTGTTCTGTCCTATCCCCTCCCCCACCTTTCACTTGTTTCACTGTGTATGCACTCTTTCAGTTCTGCACTTTCTAGCACTAGCTTTCACTATTGCTTTCAGTTATGTATTATTAATTCTGTTTATTTTAAAAAAATACTTTATAGAATACAACAATGTCGTAAAGCATTGGAGTGTCTAAAGCAGTGTATTGTCATTCTCTGTTCTAAGTATCTTTGTTTAAAAGCAAGTACCCTTCTCATATTTTGCCAGGGGTATTTATAGTAGCCTTTTAAATTCTATGATAGTAGATTACTGATTGTATTAGTTACTTTGCAGTTGACTATACCCTGAATCCCACTTACGAGTATGGTGTTTACTTGTGCAGTGAAGTAACTGTTCATCTTATTTCAACAGCTTCTGTTCGTGCGAACCTACCTCCATAATGCAGGCTGTCAGGGTGAGCGGGCAACGGAGAGGGATGAGGAGGCACTGCTCTGTGAAGTACAAGCATTCAGCCTTGCCTCTCATTTGTTCTGGGGTCTGTGGAGTGCTGTGAATGCAAAGCTCTCACAAATTCCTTTTGGTTATTGGGTAAGTACTTTGATTATATCTGCTGAAAAATGTTGGAACTGTTGAACACCTGTAACACTTTGAGCAAATTGAATATATCTGTTTCAACTGCAAACAGAATTGTCATAATTCATTTCTGAATGTTTTGTTTGTCTCTGTAACAGTGTTATTCAGAAGCTCATCATTGAAAAATAAAATAATTCATGGACTCTACATCTGGCAGAAGGTTGAATTGTTATAAACACAAACAGAACATTCAGAAATGAATTACGATAATTCTGTTTGCAGTTGAAACAGATATATTCAATTTGCTAAAGGGGTTGTTACGTCCTCTCACCCATCAACATGTACAACGCTTGTTTCACTCTCACTTTCCAGCATTTTGTTGCTCGATTCTTTGCTCACATTTTCTACTTCAATTTGCAAATTAATCTCATCATGAGAGTCAGTATTGAGTTCTTCACTTAACATATCACTACTAGATTCTTCATCCGCATTAGGCATTAGGTTCAGCCAAATGTAAAAGCATGCTACTAACACGTGACACGCCATAATATATAAATGGTATTCGTTCCTCAGGAAGTTCAAATAATGATTTCCAGATGACAGAAGAAGGCAGACAGAACATTCATGAATGCTTTGGCACAGAATACAATGGCCAGTAGCAACATATAATCAACATATGACCGGAAAAATGCAAAAGAAACTTCATCGATCATACATCAACATTTGTCCACGGAAGCACTGTCACTGTGTTGATTTTATATTGACATACAACGAGAAAGGGTTAAAATTATAATTTAATATTGATATTTCATTTTTGAAATATTCACGTGCTTTTGCCTGTGTTCAAAACTTGGCAGGAGTACTAATATCCATAGCGATACTCTTCATGCCTTAAAATCAACGGTAGATTGTTTCCTATAACTTTATTCATTGAGGATGTCACAAAGTATATGTAACATAGCAGTACTTGCTTTCATTTTCTGTTACCTTGTGGATTTATATGACTTCTACTGAATGCCATGTAGTTTCTAGAACATCTGCTTCGTACATTAGGTCTTGGGTTTTTAATTTCAGGCTAGAAATAAGCCATAAAGATTGTTCTTATGGGGTTTCTTATTCCCTTCAGACAAATGCAAGGACAGTACCTTAAAATAGTCCACATCCTAAAAAGTTCATCATACATCCTCCTGTCATTGGATTGATATACCTATATGTTAGACACAGCAAGAAATGGTAATGCAGTGTAAAGTAAAATACTAGTTCTAATAATTTAAGATACTTAGGCTCTTAGCATTAACTTGTTCTCCTTTTTTTTTTTTTCCAGGAATATGCAATTGAACGACTTGAGTCATATTTCCAGCTTAAGAATAAAATTCTGAACACCACTGTTATCTCGAATGGCACAGAAATAGGAGTGAAGAGGAAGATTCAAGAGTTGGACAGTTGAATAAATCCTCCTCTAATTCTGATGCAGTGAAATTGGTGACACTTTTATAATTTAATGAAAAGACTGTGATATGATGACCCAGGCATTGCTTGAAGCGATGAGGTGGGGTATAGGAAGACGTATTTTTATGATTAACAATCCTCTCGGCTATAAGAACGATGTGAACAGCTCTTATAACATTATGAACCCCAACATTTAGCTAAAGAACTTACATACAAAAGTTTTGTTAACATGTACTTAACTTTTGTTTTGTGATATAGCATGTGAAACTTTCTTCCCACGTATCTTCCATTGATCTCCACATTTTAATTATATTGGTACTTAGTGAAAATAAATTGTTTGCTTGGTCATTTAATACATAGTTTTTTTTGTGACAAATACAGGTATATTTAGGAACTGTTTTCATTCCATAATCACTGCATCATACATTGTTTATCTGCCATAATTTACAGCCGTGAGATTACTGTGTGCACATTTGTAATTCTTTTACAAAATTGTAATCTCAGATATGAAGTGCAATAGAAGTCCAGTGTAACTAGTATGGACTGTAATGAACATTTTTTAAATGGTCACTTTTCATGCACCATCTATTTAAATTATGTTAAGTGTAGTAATAGTCTGTGGTTTTAGTGACAGTAATTTTTCAGAATTTCCACTGTAATAAATTATTTACTCTCATTTTCTGGATTCACATATATACAGTTGAATCCCCATTTAATGTTCATAATTTTAAGGTCTTCCCTCATTAATATGGATTGCAGCACTTTGAAGTCAATAATCTGAATGTAAAATATCCTCCATTTAAAGATTTTCCTCAGTTTAGCATTCAGATCCACCGGTTCCCGATGAAACCTTAAATGGGGGTTTCACTGTATATGTTTGCAAAGTGGCTCTCTGTTCTAAGTCAAATGAGCACTTTCGGCAACAGAAAATTCTTGTGTCTTTGACTCAGTGGTCCTAATTACTTACTTGTTTCCAGGCACCTGAGAAGAGGATATGCAGAGAATGTTTATTCACTGTATTGTGAATTATTGATATAATAAGCTTCCATTGCATTTTAAACATGTTTTATAATTTGTGTAAATAGTACTGTATATATTATTTAAAATCCGTTTCATTGTACTAAGACGTACCATTTAAGTTAGAACTTCTGGCAAATTCTCATCTTTTAAAGATTTTGCCCTATACATATATGTTATGTTGTCATGACAGGTTTTGCAGCAGTGGTTCCAAATTTTTTTTTGCTGCAGATGATACTTTGTAACCCTGCTGTTTTGGATCATGTTGCATCCTGAAATGTGGAACCACTGATTCGGTCATTGGGCTTGGTTTATTTGTCAGTTTCAATGACATTGCTGACATCACTGTTTATAAGCATAGTTGAACTACATAGACATTAGACTACATCTGACTGGCCCAAAACATTTTCTGGAATAACTGTTGTTCAAGGGAAAAGACACAGATATAAACTCCATAAAATTTATGATTTGTGAAACAGATTTTGGGGACATTATCATGTTATATGCATATATTGCATTCATTAAATAGTAAGAAATGTGTTCAAGGGAATTGGCTTAATTCTGCTTGTGTTTAATGTAGACTGTCAAAGAAATGAAATGCATAAGCAACAGAAAAAAGACTGTGAAATCTGAACACCAATGTTGCCAGAAGTTTTATGCACTTGTAAATAAAAGTGTCACATTCTGGATGGGGAAGCAGTGTTGCACATTAAGAGAGAGACTCCCTCAAGAGAGATGAATTTTTGAGTGAGCTGTTACTGGAGATGAAAGACTAATGTTCCAGTAATAAGGAGATATGTTTATTTTTTTATTTTGTACCATAGCTTGCAGAGTGGATTTTACTGAAATGCACTAATAAAAGCAGGCAACAACTGTAATGAATATAGTACTTAACACAAAGCAAATTTGACTTGCAAAATAATTCAGCTAGATTTGCAATTAAGATTAATATTAGCAAGTCACAGTATGTCATTCTCTAATTGAAATTAATTTTTTTATGCATTTCCTGGAGCTTCGGTATGAATGGTAGTATTCCTTGTATTGAACTGAAGCATTCTGCAGTCATAATAAAGTGCATATGAAAGAGCTATAAATCCAGCAACTTACTGAAGCAAAGTTCAAGTACTTATGTGCTCTATTGTTATGTTCCAAGTGGCACTATGGAACTGAAGCTGGCTACTCAGTGACAGGAATGAGTGACAGTTCCCTACTTAACGAAGTTTCAGATGATGCACATTTTGCAGGCACATACTTTTAACTAAGCATTAAGGATAGTAATAATTCACTTTCTCAAAGTGCATTGTATATAATTACATATCATTTCCAAGTGAAGTAACAGTATGACATATTTTAGGAGCATGCTTTCAAAACTGAACATGTTTTTTGAGTTTCTTTCTATGAAACCTGTGTATTACATGATCAGTTCTGATCTAACAGTAAGATGTGTTTCATTATGTAGTATCTCTTAGCAGAAGGGGTAACACATTGAATTTAATTTAATTTTGTCTTTTAGTTTCAAACTAAGTGTCTTGTCAGAGATCCTCCTTAACACTGAATACTGATTTTTTGGGCCAAGGGCTTTTTGAAGTGTTGTGTGGCCATAATCTTTCAAAACATCAGAGTTCATCTGTCTATTTGAAATTTTGAAAGCTTTATAATATTCATATACTTGGCTTGCCGTATTATTTTCATAGTGAAAATGTTTTCTTAAGATATATAATTTCACTACTGAATTGTGCTAGTTTTGTGAAATCCTTAAAACTTGAGGAAAATTGTTTTCATTTAATTCCTCTTTGAGATGAGTATCAGTGAGATGCTTGCCTTCAGCTGTCACAATTTACATGAACTCTGCAGAAATTTGATACATTGTTTGCATGACATTTGTTACAGTTATCAGACTTAATAAGGCATTGAAAAAGAAAATACCAGATGTAGACGAAGTTTAAAGTTTGGATGGGGTTTGATGTTTGGTAGAATAGCTTTTAAGAATCATTCTGCATCTGTTCTCTGTCCACTTTCTCTGTTCATGGTAGAATAGCTTTGTAGAATCCTTTGCATTCCCTTCTCTGTCTTCTTTTTAGTTAATGTGAAATTCATGTCATTCTGATCAAAAGTGGGTATGTTCAAAATTTGAAAGTAGGCTCCTCATGTATGTATTGATTATGTTGTTTTTAATATTTTGGCACTATGTGCTATGTACTGTAAACTTCAAAGACTGATTATCACTATCACCATTATTGTATACTTGGTCTGTTGTACTGTAAGCGTTTGGTGTACATATTGTAGTTTGCATTGGTTTTATTTAATCATATTTTGATTTTGTTTAAGTACTTAAATTTGATTGCAATTCAGAAACCATGAAAGCAACCAGTGACACTGATTTTCATTAGTGAGAATTCAGGCACAATGGATGTATATTACTTAAGTACATATTAAAAGTTATATGTTCTTTATTACTCTGTGTATATTTTTAATCCTTCAACAAGGAGGCATCAAGGCAAGATAGCACATTCCCTTTTGAAGTTACTTATGGAAACCTCTTGTCATGGTCAAAGTCTACACAGCTTTGTGAGCTAACCATTTCTAAGGTGAGACTATATGTGAGATGGTTTTCATTACTTTAAAGAAGTTTATTGCTGGCAATGTTTACAATATGAGAAACTCTGAACCTTTGTGAAGGACCAGGATCTCCAACATTCAGTATTTTGACTTTCATGGGTGTCAAGAGGCCGCACAGTCTAAATCTCCCTTAAATTCATGACCGAAAGTTGGTCACCCTATGTACAATAGCTCAAGTGATCAGTCGCAGGCTTCCCACTGTGGCAGCCCAGGTTCGATCCCGGCTCTGGTCAAGTGGGATTTGTGGTGGACAAAGTGGCGCTGGGGCGGGTTTTTTCTGAGTACTTCGGTTTCCCCTGCCAATCTTCATTCCACCAAATCATCATAATCACCTGGGGCAGGCTACAATAGGCCAATCAGTGGCTGCTATGCTGAGTGGACCCAGTTAAGACTCCACCCTCCACTAAGCGAATTTTTTCATGGGTGTGAACATCATAGGCAAGACAGGCCTTCAATCATAGCCTTCCTTAAAAGATTCTGTCAGGCTTGCCCCGTCATGATTCAGACTATCTGGTTTTCACTTATTTGGATTTCATAACATTTTTCTTTTACAGAGCAAGGTTGCCAGCCTTGCATCAAACCCCTAGCCTGGAGGACCAGGTCTCTGTATTTACATCCTCCAGTGATAGGGCAGCCCAGTTGGATCCCCAGGCACTGTGTTCCCTTTTTGTTGCTTTCTGTAACTTGCAGGGCTATGATAGAGGAATTCCTAATCTGACTCCACATGAGAATGATGAAAGTTGAAAAAGTGGAAACATCTACACTTTACCTGGTCAGTCTCAAACCTGAGGCCTTTGGCATGAAACTTCCTGCGTATGAGGATGTTTCAATTTAAAGCTTTAGATAGATGAGCAAGGAAGTTAGTGGGTGTTTCATAGACACATCAAAGTCTCAAATTTTTGGATCAAATTGAGGAAGAATAATCTTTCAACTGACACCAGTAGATCAATATTTCAGTCTTATGCATCTAAAATTTTAAAATGACTGATTTTGTGTTGCATACTAGCATGCAAATTATGCGGCCCACCAGAACTGCAATTGTTGGAAACACAACATGAATCGACCTGCCAGTGGCTAGTTTCATAAATTGTTAAAGAAGAAGAAAAAGATGTATTGTACAGTAGAGATTAGCATCATACTCATTCCCATCATGATATGAAAAAAGTCATTCTTGCACACATGTAGCATTTTGTATGAAACCATGAGTTATGTTTACTTTATCACCTTGGTAGCCAGAAAGTTTGCACTTAAAATTGTGGGTTGGTGCTATCTTCTGCAGACACTTTATGTTTACTACACAAATGGGTCTATGAAGATCCATCTTGCATTCAAGGTCTATATTCTGAAAGACAAAATTGTTAAATATTCCTCGTGCAAAGTTTGATTTGGGAATTGCTGATAGTGGAGCATTAATATGTCTACTGAAGCAGATTTCCTGAATTTTGTATATGTTCAGCTCTCGAGCCTGTATTCTGTAAAGCGAATTTAATTTTATGTTGAAATGTAAACTAATACCTGCCCATTAAAGTATAATTAGACAATACTGGACAATTATTTGGGTGGGTGTGTGTGTGTGTGTGT